GTAGCTTTAGGATGCTTTCTTTTTCAAAGTCCATTTTTTTTCCTGCCCTGCAACCAAGTCAGCTTTATTAACTCTGAAGAGAGATGCTTTTACCACAAGGAATTCAAATTGTAAGCCCAATATTTGACCACAATGTTCTGCTATTGACTCAATGCTTGGTAATAACAGAAAAACTGTTGCACAGCTTGTTTGGCTGTAGGAATCATTGGCATTACCGGTTTCTTTTGCCTCTGTATCATGTTTTTTAAGTTTCCAAACAATCTGCTTTGTAAAATATAAATCTCTGTGTATCAGGTACCATTATTATGGGATTGCAGTGAAAGAAAACTCCCAGTATTATGATGTGATGTATTCTAAAAAAGGAGCAGCCTGGGTCAACGAAACAGGAAAAAAAGAAGTAACCAAACAGACAGTGGCGTATTCACCACGATCCAAACTGGGAACATTACTGCCAGAGTTTCCAAATGTCAAAGATCTAAATCTGCCAGCCAGTCTGCCAGAGGAGAAGGTAACACTTGGGAAATCTTTTCTTGGCTTGTCTTGTTGGTTTTTTTTCACTCTGCTCTGGATGAAAGCTTTGTCTAATATATAGACTTTAAATTACAGTGAGTTTAGTAATGCTTTGACTTGATTTATGTGGGTCTGAATTACTTCATCTAACAGGAAGAAATAGCTTCCCTTCAAATAGGCAGCTGACACTATCAGCTGTGCAATGTTTCTGAAGTCCATGCATGCTTTTTTTACAGTTAGATTACATACAGCAGGTGAGGTTTGAGGGCAACTTGCTAAATATAGTGCAGTTCTCTAATCTGTGAACACATCTCATGGCATACCAGAAAACAGTTCTGATGCTTTCTTGAGCAGAGAGCGAGTTGATGCATTTCTTATCCTTTTGAGATAGAAATTCAGAGAATCCAATCTGCACATATGACAAAAATGCTCTGGCTGCTCTTGGTTGAGCTTGCTAGTTTTCTGGTTCTATTCACATGTGTAGTATCAATGTAGAGTGGACAAAAGAATAGGGTTTTATAGTTCTTTGTGTCCTAATTAGGGCCACATTCTCATCTTTGATCTCACTGAGGTTTTTTGCTCCTCTTACATTTGAAAAATCCCCATTAACATAGAAAAATCCATGAATTCAAAAGGAGAGTTTACTTTTAAGAAGAATAACTCATAGCTAATCTAACTAGAGTCTGATTTCACTATTTTTGCAGTTGTGCATAGCTAAGATAAGAAAAAACTTACCTTGCCTGTGCTTTGCATTCTGATAGTTTTAAAAGCAATTTCTTAAAGTAAAATGATCTTTTGTGTGTCTCTCTCATTCTTTTTCAGGTTTCTACCTTTATTATGATGTACAGGACTCACTGTCAGAGGATACTAGACACTGTAATAAGAGCAAATTTTGATGAGGTATGGTTGGAAACTGCAGTTGTATTTCAGTACATAAGGTGTTAAGGGATCTGAGGCCTTATTTTTTATGTGATACTACAGATTTATGGTTTTGTGGTGGTTGGTCCTTTTCATGAGCAAGGGACAATTGCTGTACTTGAGTAAGAAATACGTGACTGATAGCACTAAATCTCACTTATAACTCTGCGTGGATTAGAGGAACAAAAGCAACAGGAATGTTTTTGTCTCCTTGTTCTCCAGCAGGATTAAGGTAGCAATATTTCCTTGCAAGATGTTTGGCAATCCAGTTCTTACAACTCAAGAAGTGTATCCATCACTACTTTTTGAAGTTTTTGTTGGAACTGAGCTGTTTGAAGGAACTCCTTGAGTGTCTAGCACAAACCCAGGTCAGGTGCCACAGCAGAAACAGTGGGCTCTTCTGGTCTGTTAGCAATGACCAGAGTAGTGGAGGGTTACAGCCTCCCAGATATCCCAGAAAGCTGTAGCTGAAGTCTCCAGTTGCTCAGTTGTACTGCAGTGCAGAGAGGAACAAATATACACACTGCTCAGCAGTTCATACCATCTGTTAGAGATGCATAAAGTTTGTACCTGTTCCCTATCTGACTGAATCTGAGGGTTTTCTGGTAGTGCATGCAGACAGCTTTACAAATAGAGCTGAAAAATAACATGTTACTGGAATGCAAGCAGTTTTATACTACATGTGGAGAAGGCTTCTAATCCAGGAAACAAATCTGATTATCATAGTATGTTAAGGGATTGGAACAGACCTTATAGATCATCTAGTCCCAACCCCCTGCCCTGGGCAGGGTCCCTTCCCACCAGAGCAGGTTGCTCAAGGCTTCATCCAACCTGGATCCAACTGTCAGGGTTGGGGCAGCCACAGCCCCCCTGGGCAACCTGTGCCAGTGTCTCACCACCTGCACAAGAAAAAACTTCTGCCTAATGTCTAACCTAAATCTCCCCTCCCTCAGTTTGTACCCATTGTCCCTTGTCCTGTCACAGCAGTTCCTAACACAGAGTTCCTCTGCATCTTCCCTGGAGCCCCTTCAGATCCTGGAAGGTGCTTTGAGATCTCCATACAACTCTCTTCTCCAACTACAGAGGTGTTGAGGGTCTGATTCAAATATGACATTCAGGTTCTGGAAAAAAATCCAAGTAAATTTGTCTTTTGACTCTCTTCTGAACAATGGGAAGAAATTCCCTGCTTTTCTTCCTCTCGCTGTTTAAATCTCACACTCTTCTAGTTTAAAGCTGGGTTTGTGCCATTGTACCTAGTCTAGATGTTGCCTAGTAAGAAAAGAACGTGAAACATTTAGGAAGTATTGCTGAATGAGTCTCAGAACACTTTCTTAAGAGCGGGGTGCTATATCTTGTCAGAGAATCTGTTTATCAGGATCAATGATGGGGAAGGGACTGAGCAGCAACAACATAGAAAAGGCAAATATTCTTTACTGCACCTGGTGTGGTTACTTGTTTCACTGCAGATTGCCTGCAGGTGATCATTAATAAATCCTGGTGTTCTGACCCCTGTAGAACTGATCATATCCTTCTCTGAACAAGACATGTATTTCCTAAATGACAATTTTTAGAGGTATATATTGCTGTATCTGACATCTCCTACCTAGTTATTTTGTGTTTCTCTATTTTTTCTCCTCTTTCCATCATAGTGGAGGAAAGAAGGAATCCAAAAGTATAGTGTCTCTTTCCAAAATGAAGTGAGAATATGGTATAGTGACCCCTGTAAGCCATGTGCTATCCCCCTCTCCCTCCCTACACCAAACCCTAGATTGCATTCCTTTGTACATAGGGACAGAGAGCAAAGAGAGAGAGAAAGGCCTGACATGTGGAAGCCAAAGAGTTGCACTCCCCAGCCACTGATGGAAGGTAAAAACATGGTGGTTCCCATGGATGTCTCTACTGTAGTAACACAAAGACATCCTGTCACCAGCTCAGAGTGCCTCCTCACCCTCTGGACAATTATCCCATTGTGTGCTGTGTCACAGGATGAGCCTGTCTAGTTAAGGAACATGTATTGCCTGTGTTGCTCACTACCAGCCCAGCACTGGGGCTGAAACAAGTGCTGTGTAAGCAGGATCATTTCAGGACGATGGTATTTGTGGCCTTTGATTACTCGATTCAAACATTCCTCCTTCTTCTCCCAATTGCAGGTTCAAAGTTTTCTTCTGCACTTTTGGCAAGGGATGCCTCCTCATATGTTGCCTGTATTGGGTTCCTCAACTGTAGTGAACATAGTGGGAGTTTGTGATTCAATTCTCTACAAGGCAATTTCTGGAGTTTTGATGCCCACAGTCCTACAAGCCTTACCTGACAGGTCAGTATTGCCTGTAGCACTGACTCCTTTCAGCTCAGCTGTCTCTGTTCTATATCCTTTCTTCACGAATTACACCAGTTCTCAGTAAATTGCTTGCTGCCACCCATTTTCTGAGGTTAAATCACAGTGTCAACTGAAAGGAGCTGAAGGGCTTACATGTTCCTGAAGAAATGTTTGGATTTTAACAAGATTTGGATTATTAAAAACTTGGGGCGTTGTTTGGGTTTGGGGTTTGTTTTTTTTTTTTTAATAAGGATACAACCTTCTTGGTTTCTTAGCATTGAGTTGATAGTTATGTCCCAACCTTCAGGGAAGGTCAGAAATGTGCAGGCTGCAGAGTACCACACTGTCTTCAGGAAATCTCTGACACTTTTCTGCAAGTCTGGGATGACAACATAACAGTGCTCTGAATCATCCTTATGAGAGAAGGTGACCTGACTGCTCTGTTTGTAAATACTCACATGCATGTTCAGGCACTGCAACCTAAGCATTGTCTCTGCATACACTCTTGGAACCCAATGGTTATTCTGCTTGCTAAGAATACAAAACATGAAGATCTTACTGGTGAAATCTTGGACAAGATGTTTTAAAGTTAAATGCTGTCCTAAGAAGAACAGAATCATGATCGGTTTAGGATCACTTTGGTAACATTAAGAAGTATTTGCCTCTTCTGTTTCAAAGCTAAATTTACTTATCCAATCCATAGCACAGATTTCAGCTGTTTTCTTCCTACCTGGAGCTCATGTGAGTCCAACAAGTCTTGTTTATATAGGTAAAGCAGGACAGAGATCAACAGGCTACAGCAAAAACTGTGCCCATTTAGTGCAGTCAACCTGTTTCCACCCTTGGTTTTCCTAATATGAACATCAGGAAACTCTCTTCCTCTATATGTGTACACCCTTAGTGTTATTTGACAGCTGTATCAGTAATTTGTTAAGAATATTGCTCCAGGAGTTTCTTCCTGGTGCTGTTTATTTAGCCCTCAGGATCTGAAAGTGTTTCTAAACTTGGAAAATGCTTTCAAGATGTTATTCTGCTCTCCTATGTGCCGTTCATGACTGCTAAAGTACAGGCAAGGTATTTTTTTACACAAGAAAACTGTTATGAGCATGGGCTTTTCTTGATAAGACATGTACATTTTTACAAGCTTTGCCCCTCACCCCCCCAAATCTATTTCGCTGGAAGGATTAAACAGAACAGCAGTCCTTTTCTCAAGCTGCTTAGTTCTTTCATAGCAAATAAGGAGAGACTTGAGTGTGAATATAGACTTTTGTAATGCATATAAAGGGCCAGATTGTGGCTATTAAGCCATAGCCTGCACTGGAGGGGGTGAAGAAGGGTCTCATTGCAATGGAGGCTCCTGAAGGAAATCTTGCTGACTCAGCCAGAATCCTCTGAGATACTTCCTGGGAAAAAATTCTGGCTACCCAGAAAAGACACTTTTTTTTTGTGAGTGCAGCAGTTGTCATCCATCCCCTGTCCTCTTCAGGTGTCTTTGTGGAGCAGAGCAGGTATATGACCATGCTTGTTTTACCACCTCTGTTCTCAGTGCAGTGTGTTAGAGTACAAAGGAAAAAGGTAAAGTCGCTTGTAACTCTCCTCTCTCTCTGTGCCCCTCTGTTATTGCTATGGGCAGTGCAGCTCTGTCAGAACCACTGTTAGGGTCCTTTGCACAACACTCTGGAAACACAACTGCTCCTGGAAACTAATTTTATACTGAGGATTCCAAGAAGGGCAGGATGAGCTGCCTACCAAGTCTGACAGGAAATGATGGAGCCATCAACAAAGGGTAGCAAGGGAGAAGAGAAAAATCTCACTTGTCTGGGAAAGCTCTAGTCCTGTGCAGAGCTGAGTGGGCAGGTCCTGGCCCACCCCCACTTCCCCCATCTATGTGGGCTTGACCTGGAAATTCGCCTCCAGCATCATCACCCACTCACTGGCTCTGACCTGCAGCAGAGTTGGTTATTGCTCCACTTGAACCTCCCTATGTACATCTGTACAAATGTGGGCACATCTGAGCTGAAATCCAAAGCTTGATCTATTGTCTTCTTGAAACACTTGTGGTTTGTGATTTCTAGAGAGTGGAAATGATTTTTAACTTGCTATTTCAAGTAAGAATGCTGTTTGCAAATGTCTAAGCAGTGCAGTATAGAGACTTTCGTCCTTTGTGAGGTTTTTTAACATGGTGGTATGTTTTGCTCTTCCTGCAAAAGTTTTCAGAAGTTTTACTTGATGCCTCAAAATACATCAGCGACTCTGCACAATATTGAGTTGTAAATAAAAACCTCATGGTCTTCATACATTCACAGATCTTATGGTATAATGCACAGAGTGAACCTGTTCTGATGTAGTGATTCCTTTCTTCAGTTTGACGCAGGTGATCCGAAAGTTTGCAAAGCAACTGGATGAGTGGCTGAAAGTAGCTCTCCATGATCTGCCTGAAAACCTACGGAATATCAAGTTTGAATGTATGTATGGTGCAATCTCTCTCCTGTTAACCTGGGGTGCACACAGTGTTCATTGATTACATATTACCTAGAAGGGAGACTAGTGTTTTTTTATGGATTAAAGCCTGTCAGGAATACAGATCTTGCATATACTTGCAATCTCTCCTTGTTCATGACAACCAATTTAACTGAGTGAAATGAGGACCTGCTCGAAATGAGGAGAATTGCTCTCCCTGCCTTGTGGATTCTGATAAGAAATTAATTTTGTTGATAGTAAGCAGACATTAGGGATGATATTAGGCAAAGAAAATTATTAAACAAACCTTCAGGCTAGCAGCATTTGAATACAGCTTGAGGCCCTTACTCAAAAAAGTGCCAGAGTTAAAAATGAAGGAGATCAAATTACCCTGTCACCACAGGAAAGGGCACTAGTCCTTTTCAGACATGCTTTGTAGATGCCTGCAGTGCACATCACCTATTGATAAAGCCTGCTTTATTTCACGGCTCTCAATTCTTTGCCTTTCATGAGCACTAAATTCCACACCACAAAGTTAAAGGGGGGAGAAAAAAAAACTAATTTAGGAGAAGGATTAACTATTTTGATCAGCGTGGAAAATGAGGTGTATATTTTACTGAGAACAGTCAGGGTGTAAGTTGGACCAACTAATTTTTAGGGAGTTTTTTAATTTTCTGCTATTTCATTTGAAAAGTTAATCCAAGTCAGAACTGGGAATATGCTTTAACCACATCTTTGTCAGTTCAAAAGTACTGAGAATCTTCAACAGAAAAACCTTTTCCAGTCTTAGAGAGAGAGAGAAATAGACAGTCACTCTCAATGGGTACTCTTTAGCTGCCTCTATGTACAGTACAGAGGGAAAACTCAACTCTGTGTCCATGTCTAATGCCTGTTTGGATAGATATGCAAGACTCTGCTGATTCTGATATAAAGAAAATACTGTGTGCATCCTGCCTTTCATATAAGCCTTTGTGGCTTCTGCAGTTGTGTCCTCCTCTCCAGAGTTTGTGATAGTGTACACAGCCAGTGGAGGTACTGACAGGAGTAACTGCAAGCCTTGGTCACGTTTGTAGTTCCTGAGTCATAGATTTCAGACCAAAAAATGCACAATACAATATTTGAAAAGTTTGTTTTCCAAGTATAGGAAATATCTTGATACAAGGTCTGTATCATTTGCAAAGAGCTGAAATAGGAGCAGAGAACTGGCAAGTACCTCCTGGGCTGCCTTAGCCTGTAATATATTAGCACATCATGCAATCTCCCTCAGAAACTTTGATCAAATTCTACCTGAAACTGCATCAGAGTCTAGCTTCTACCATTTCAGTCTGAAGACTCCTCCAAAATTTGTTTGCATTAAGATTTAGCAATCCTTTCTCATTTCCACACCTAATATAGCTATCATTATTTTATGTTCACTTGTTATTGCATCAACATTTTTCTTTCTATTAAACAGTTCTTTCTGCTCTTCAGTTCCTTTGTGTAGAAGGAGAAAATTTGCTATGCTGAACAAGCAAAGCTCTTCCATTGTCCTGTGTGTTTCTCTTGTCGTCTCATTATTCACAGCATCTATAAATCATGGTTTGTAATATGCCTCTGTAAAAGGGATTGGGCATCCAGATTTAGGTGAGGGTTTAAATGAAGTTAAAACTGGGCTATTTAAGAGAATTTTGTGTAGCCACAATTTCATGTAGGAAACTGGATTTTTTTTGTTGTTGTTCTTGTTTTAATTTAGTACTTTGAGAAGTGTTTCTTTCTTTAGCACAGTATTTAAATATGTATCACTTCTTTCCTGCAGTGTCCAGAAGATTCTCACAAATCCTCCGGCGACAGACATCACTAAATCATCTCTGCCAAGTAAATATTTCAATTACCCAAGTTTGATGAATGCCATTTCTACTGACTTTTCAAATGAATTGACAGGTTGGACTTTACTCAGAGGAGAAGAGATCACATTAGCATTTTGTCTCCAATATTAATTGTGACCACCTTCACAAAATCCAACAGAAATCATTGAAAAAATGTTTTCCTAGAAAACTGGCAGCCCCGATCACTAAATTGAGCAGGGTACTTGCATGAAACTAAATTATTTCTTGATTTGAAGTAAATTTGAAGTTCATTTCGAGGCAATAAATAAGAGCCATTGCATTGACTTCAGAGCAGTTTGTATTAGACCAATGGCCAAGCAAGAAATATTTCTAGATGCCCAACAATAAATTCCAAGTCTAATTGTGTATTATAAATCAAATGCAGTTTAGTAAAAACCAAACCAGCTGAACCACTGGGGTATTAAATAGACATACTCTTGTCACCATGACAAAGGAATATAGAAATTGCCCTGAAATGTTTGATTTTCACCAGTTTAGATAGCAATTACCTATTGAAAAGTCAGGAGACCAAATTCTGTGTAGTACAAAAAGGGGGAGATTGCGTTGAAATAATGTTTCATCCATGTGTTGGTGGGGATAGTTTGCCCTCTCACACAAAAAGCTCCACTTTTGGAAGGTTTATCCAACTCCCCAGGTTACCCTGTAAGAGGTGAAGACCATGGGAAGAAGCTCTGGGGTGAAAAAAAAATCACTCCTGTAAGGAATTCTTTGTAGGCTTCTCCCTCCACGATTCTGTCAGTGGAGGCAGAGATACCAATGCTACCTTTCCCCAGATATGGTGGGCCATCACTGAACTTTGGAGGTCCATAAGGAATCAGAGGGAATCAAGATAAAGAGACCACAACTTTCTGCATCAGATCAGGGATCAAACATTTTACTTTGTAAACACTTGAAGTGTTTACTTACTTCAAGTGTATCACTTCCCTGGGGAAGCTGATAGACCTCAGTGTGGGTTATCACCTCTGCTTAACTCACAGAGATCTGTTGTATGTTATATGACCATGACCTTGTGTTACTTCCTTTCTTCTCAATCCATTCTCCCCATTAGCAACAGCAGGTCCCTGTCTCAACCAGCTAAAAAATGGATCTGATAAGGAGGCTAAGGAGCTTTTACCTTTTCATGTGCCTGAGGGAGGAATGAGAGTCTTCACAGTTTGGGAGAGGGGAGGGTACAAACCTGAGTGAGGTTTCTTTGGTTTTGGCTTGATTTTTCTAGCTGTTTTTCTGTTTTGAAATGAATCTTGTAATGAAAACCAACAGAGCTGTTAGAGACTGAGGGGTCTAGCAACAGCAGCATCAGATTAGTGTTGCTTATAAGGGTTTGTGGTGGATACAACTAAAATATTTGCAGTTGATTAAAGTAGGCAAAATGACTTGAGAATTCTCTGGTTAGAGGGTCCTGTAATATCCATAAGACATGAAGCTAGTGGGTGGGGGCCCCTGAGGAGAATCAACTTAGTGAGCCTAGCTAAGGAAGCGTAAAAGGGGATAAAGCCTATTTTTTAACCTAATAAAGCATGAACTAATGAATAGATTGGATTGGATTACAGGCATCAAGAACAGTGATCCACAGTGCAGACATCACATTTCAAATGCTGGAGGACTGGAGGAATGTGGATCTGAATAGCATTACCAAACAAACCCTCTATACTATGGAAGACTCACGGGAGGAACACAGGAAGCTCATCATACAATGTAAGAGCAGAACCTTCAAATAAAACCAGGTGAACTTGGTTTCCTGCTGCAAACAAAGCTCAGATAAAGTAACACTGGTTTTGCAGCCGTTGGTTTGCTTGGAGGCTTAAAATAAATATAGAGGCATTGGCCAAATTGTAAGGCAAAGCCCTTTCAAGGTCTTATGCTTTGAGGCAGAGATCTGGACACTCTTCCATTAACGAGCTCCTTTTTAGTATCCAGAACAGCCAATGACACAAAACTTGCACTCACATTATCAGGAGGACTTTTGTCCATGAACTTGAGCAAACTAAATCTACGAGTTAACCATTAAATGTGTGAAAGTCCAATATCTCCTCCTGGAGAATTGCAGGAGAATTGTCTTTTGAATGGCTTTGACACTTAAGTGGCTGTGTGTTTGAGTCCCTTGTAAACTGATTTATAAAAGCTCCTTTGTATACAGTGTTTTCACAAACAAGAGCATTTGATGGGGTGAGTGTGAATATTTGTAAGTAGGAGTTTCATATTGAACAAGCTCATTGGCTAACTTAGATTCTGTCTAGGGTAGTGAAGGGCATGAACTGAAAGGTGACTTTGGAGATATAGGCAAATTTGGTTTAGAATTAAAGATCTTTTGCAAATATACAATATACCTTCCATTGTCCAGCAAGTGTTGCATGATTGTAAGCTTAGGTGTAACCCTAAGCACTCTGACTTTTGTTGCTCTGAAGCAACAGAGCTTTGTCATCATTCATAACATCACTTCCCTGTGAACCCACCTGCTGTATTGCCATCTCTCTCCTGAGGAGGACCAGTCATCTTTTATCCAGAACCAACCTTAATGGGGTTGAGGCAACCACTTGTGAGAGCCCAGCAAGGGTAGGTTTGGGGTAATTCTCCCAGTGAGTGGCTGGGAAGAGGAGGGGTGGGTGACACCTTCACATGAGCACTGCACCCTGGAAGGCTGACTTTGGCAGTCATCACTGGGCTAACAGTAGAAGTCTTTTTGGTTCAGGAATGAGCCTTGCATTCTCTGTTAGCTCCATTTTCCAGTGAGAGGTGCTTGGTATTCTTTCCTATCCTTCTTAACCCTTGATTCATTTTCTGACATGGCCCTCTTGCCTTTTGAGGAGATAGAAACTTGACACAGCTGCAGTGGAGGTAGCATAGAGTGAGACTGAGGTCCAGAAGTTGTGTCCATCCTTCTGTCAGCTGTTCTGTTTTCTGTCCAACAGTTCTCAAAGTTATCCCTAGTAACAGCAAAAGTTTTGACTCACATTCAGAAAATCCTTACTGTTTAGGAAGGCTTTTTAGATCTGTGCTAGCTATTTAAATACAAACCTCAGTGTAATAAAATCAAATGGAATTTTCCTGAATGCTAATGAATATGTTTTGAACAAGTTTTGAACAAGTTTTTCCATATCTTAGGCCCATACAGTCCAATCAGCAGTTACTTAGAGATGGTAACCTAATATGAACGTTCATCCTGAGATGAGATTCCACTGAGAAGTGCAGATATGTACAGAGACTATTCTAGAACTTAGACTTTTCCCCCCCCCTCATCTTTGATGTTTATTCTGTCAGACCAAAGATCTTTTCCAAGACTACACTCTGGTCCTGCTTTCACATTCTTGGTGCAATCAAGAAAGTACAATTTCCAGCTACTGTAACAGGAAAACCCCAACTTGTTTATAAGCCTAAAAAGAAGTTTAGAGAGAAACAGACAAAAATCTCTGGGTATAAGAGAATCTCTTTCCTGTGGTTGCTATCTTTGACATGATTTCTTCTTTATTCCCTCTTTGTCAGAGCCTATTGAGGTATTTTTATCAGTCACTAAAGACCAAACATTTAATTTTCTCACATAGGTCACTGTACACAGTTGCATTGCTCCAGCAGCAAAGCAGGCAACTGATTTATTTTTCCACTCTTGCTCCCTTCTTCACACAGCATATGAATTACTTCATCTGTTGTATCAGGAAGTTTTTGCCCAGCCAAATATTCAGGTAAGGAGACAACATTTAGATTTTTCTGTGACCCTGTTCTGAAAAAAGGGAGGTTGCCAATTCAATGAAACCAAGAAAGAAGATAAGGGAGGCCAAATGTCATCATTTCCCTCCTTCCCTAACCACTCTTTCTGATGACTCAGTCTATGCAAGTCTAAGTCAAGCAAAGTTGTAGTCAGGTGTGAAGCAAACACATTCCTGCAATAAGAGTCCAGGGAGGTTGTTCTTTGCTTTGTTGACAGAGAGCCTCTCTGGCTCATTTCTATACTTCTCACATCTAAGCTTTGCTTCCTCCACCTTCTTCACTATCTTTCCCATGATGGGAAATTTCTTCCTCCTCTTATTTCTATTTAAGCCTAAATGGAAATGCATAGCACATTGAAATCATTCTGTAATACAGCAACAGAAAGTATCTTTCTTCTTGGCTTCCTGAGCTTTTTCTCTTAGCTGAGTGCAAGAACAATTTGTTAAGGTGTCAAAGCACATGATTCTTTGTCCTTCAGCCATTGGTTCTCAGAAAGAAATGAGACTTGCAGTTTTAAGGGTTGCACTTGAATGACTTGATTGTTTTTGCTTTTTGTATTAAAATAATAATGGTTGTACTTGGAAAAGATTAAAAAGTATACAGGTTGCTTTTTGAAACTCTTCTCAATAAACTAAGTATAGCATTGCTGCATTGAGAGCAATTTGTTTTGGAGAAGTAGAAGTTATTGGAAACTCTTTGTGCGTGTCTGGCATTGCAAAGAGATGATTTACAGCAGTTAAATCAAGTTTTTGCAACTAAAGTGTTATCCAGATGAGTGTTCTATCAACAATACTCGTCCACTTGGTGCCTAGAAGATTCTTTATGCATTTCTAAATCAATTTCATGCATGACATTTTTCATCACCAGGGTCAAGGCCTAGTTTCACACTCAGTAGAGAGCCCTGTAAACATTTCATAGAGTCAAAGAATTTAAGGGTTGGAATGGACCTTACAGATCATCTAGTCCCAATCCCCTGCCCTGGGCAGGGACACCTCCTCACTAGATCAGGTTGCTCAGGGCTCATCCAGCCTGGCCTTAAACACTGCCTGGGTCAGGGCAGCCATCACATTCCTGGGCAACCTATGCCAGTGCCTCACCACCCTGACAGGAAAAAACATTTTCCTCACATCCAACCTAGACTTCCCCTCCTTCAGTTTAAACCCAATACACCTTGTCCTATCATTGCAGTTCCTAGCAAAGAGACCCTCTCCAGCTCCCCTGTGAGGCCTTCAGATATTGAAAAGTTGCTCTGAGGTCTCCACGCAGTCTTCTCTTCTCCAGGCTGAACAGCCCCAACTTCCTCAGCCTGTCTTCATAAGGGAGATGCTGCAGTTCTCTTAGCAACCTCACGGCCTCCTCTGGACTTGCTCCAATGGTTCTATGTCCTTCTCATGTTGAGGGCACCAGAACTGTGTGCAGTATTCCAGGTGGGGTCTCATGAGAGCAGAGTAGAGGGGAAGAATCACCTCCTTTGACCTGCTCCCCACACTCCTTTGGATGCAGCCCAGGATTCCATGGGCTTTCCGGGCTTTCAATTCACTTCCAGGCACGCCAGGCAGATGAAGCTTAAATGAAAATACTGATTTTAAAATGTAGATTCTGAACTGCTCATAATAAAATAGCACTTCCAATGACTGCATCACTTTCCGTAGCAAGACTACTAAGAGACCAAGCAAACCTTTTGGGTCAGCACCAAGAAAGATGCATTTGTTGCATTTAAGCAATGTATTATAAAACCTACGGCAGCTTGGGATGCTGTTGGCAGCTCTTTGTAATTTGCTTCTCTTTTGGTGGAAATGGAATTCATGTACTGAGGTGGTCTGTCTTCTGTTTTGTCTGCCAGTGTATCAGGAGTTTGACCACCTTTTGGAGGAGCAGTCACCCATCGAGTCATACATCGAGTGGCTGGATTCCATGGTGGACAGATGTGTCGTAAAGGTTGGTAAGCAAGAGTGAGGAGATGAGTCACTGATGTGCATTAGGAGCTCTATTCAGATCATAGATTTTCAGCAAAAAGAAAAATAACTAAAAAAAAAAAGAGAAGAGGAAAGGGAGAGGAGAAAGAAGAGGAAAGGGGAAGAGAAAGAAGAGGAAAGGGGGTGAGAAAGAAGAGGAAAGGGGATGAGAAAGAAGAGGAAAAAGAGAAGCAGCAATTGATAATAAGCAGGGGCAAAATCTTACCAGTTGTCATGAAGAACTGCTCGTACTCAGGATTCCACTTTATTCTATTCTTGTTTATTCTAGCCCAAGAGATGATATTCAAGCATGAACAGGGTTGATGTTTCCAATCAAATTAAAAGTTCAGAGACATGGAGCGATGACTTTAGAGTCATCCTTAAGACACCGTCACTAACAGTACTTTGTATTAGAATGTTCCATTAGAATTTCAGCTCTTCATTCCAGTTGTTAGAGCTTAGAAGTAAGAGGAAAACAAACCAAAACATGCTCTGCTCTCTGCTGAAAGAGCCATCCCAAAAACAACAGACAATTCCCTAGATCACTTGAAATACTTCGATTTTTTTGGGGAACTTCTCTTCTAGTCAGTGAAATGCATTTGAAATACTGATCGTAAATGCTAACTAAGAGCTCAGCATGAATTTTAATAGCTGATTGGGTGAACCTAACTCTTTAACTCACATATGGCCATAGAAGATATATTTTTGGAGAGTTGATGCCTAAAATGTGTTTTCCGGAAGATATTTTTCCTAGTAAAATGGCAACGTGAACTCACTAAAATAAAAACATTAAGGAACAGCACCTTTCATATTCAATATTAAACCTTTATCGAATAGTCCGGTATAGACTAAACATTCTTGATTATAAATTGCTTCCTTGATTAGAAAACAAGAATGAACATGTAAGTAATTAAGATTAACATCAGAGCAGGTTTTTTGCAGTCCTGTTATCATTTATAGAGGAGATTCAGTCTTGGTGTTGAATAATACTTCATGATTTTCTCTTTCTGAAGGCTATATATGGTTATGAGATGGTTTTCTGTCTAAGGCCATTTTGAGTTTGGTTTGTTTTCAATACTTTTGTGTCTATTTTAATGGGAAGATAGTGGTAAGCAGTTTTTCAACCTATAAAAAAGAAGACAGATATGTGCAACATTGAGCTGTATTGCTGGTAGAAATGCAAGGTTCTCTGTGTCAGATGTATCTGTCTTCTTGCAGGTAGCTGCCAAGAGACAAGGCTCTTTGAAGAAAGTGGCTCAGCAGTTCCTCCTGATGTGGTCCTGTTTTGGCACTCGAGTGATTCGGGACATGACTTTGCACAGTGCACCCAGCTTTGGTACTTTGATTTAGTTGTAATAATTGCATGCCACAGTAAAAAAAAATCCCTCTATCCTAGCTTGTTATGTACAGTTTAAGTGAAAACATAACCAGGTTTGTTTCCCAATAACAGCCCAAGCCCAGGGCTCTATTAAAATATGAGCTGGGGCTACTGACATTTGGAAATAATGCTCAGACAGATGTATGTCTGCATGATCTAGCCAGGGGAGCTGAAAACATTACTGCTTCCTTCTGTTTGCTGTTAGCCAGTAGCTGGAGTGATTTGTCCCAGGGCAGTGAGGAGTCGATTACAGAAGTGTTCCCTAAGGCACTTCAGTGCACAGTGAGCCTGGTTACCCAACCCACTCTGCCGACGTGTTGTGCCAAGAGAGGTGACTTTGTGCTGAAGTGGATGGAAAGCTCTCCTGAGAACCACTTTGCCAGCTCTCCTTTGAAAGGACATAGCGCTTGAAGCTACAATTTCTAAATGAGGGTGTTTCTGTACTCTGGACAGATTCTCTTCCATTTTTTATCAAGTCAGTTAGGATGGACAAATAGATTTTTACTTTTGAAATGAAAAAACATGTTGCTTTCCTACACAGTTGGAAAAGGAGCTTTGTCCAGGGGTACAAACAGTCCACATTACAATCAGTTAAGTGCAAGAGTGACCTGGCTGCTGTGTCATGAGTGTGAACATTGGCAGTTACTCAGGACCAGATTTTGCACGAGAGATGGTTTTTACAAGTGTCTATTTGTCTGAATAGGTTAGTAGAATATCAATAATTAATGATTTTGTAGTCACCGCATTGAACCACTGCAAGGATTTCTGTCAGCTGATGTCCTTTATGCTTTTAGAACCATCTGGTGGCATAAATTCAGATGCTGTCAGAGGTAGGCACAATATAAAATTTATAGATGTTAGTTTATATTTTTATATAATGTATATATATTTTTTAATCTGAAACTACTTTCATTGGCTTCCCACTGTAAAAGATTTTTCCAAATGGGTATAAGTGAATCATCATTAGACATCAGGATAGCAAGCATCCCCAAGACGATCATAGAATCAGAGAATCAACCGGGT